TCTCTCTCTCTCTCTCTCTCTCTCTCTCTCTCTCTCTCTCCCTCCCTCCCTCCCTCTTTCTCTCTGTGTGTGTTTCTTTTCTGATCTGCCCACGTCCTAAACTTGGCTATTGTCCAAACTATAGACCAATTATGCCTTATATTATCTGGGCGATCTTAGACAAATCTCTCTACTTCCCCGAACCTCAGTTTTCATGATAATGAAAATGTGTACCCCAAGAGGGTTAGCCAAGACAATGTACATGAAAGTGCCTTGTAGACACTGAGTGGCAAGTGTAAGCCACCTCCGTCAAGCTTCATTATAACCCTGTGAGGTAGCGATCATCTTTATTCCACTTCACGGATAAGGAGTGCAAAGGAGTACTTGCATAACACAGTGCAGAAAGTTACCTGCCCAAGGTCACCCAAGACTATAGGTTGGCAAATCTGGAGGGAGACGGGAACTAATCATGACCCTCTCACTCTTTTCACTATGCGGTAATGCTTGTAGGTTTTAAGCAATTCCTTCCTCTGTGCATAAAATATTAGGATATAATACTTGGAGCCTTGGAGCCCCCCAAGAAACCCAAGTCACGGCGGGAACACAGGCGCCGCTGCTGACGCCTGCTAGGGAGCGCGGAGCTCCCCCTAGCGCCCACACTTGGCTCTGCACCCAGATTTTGGTGGCTTCCCTGGCTGGGTTTAGAAACCTTAATCTGGTGGGACATTGCCATCTAGCGTCCGCCATGCTAATTCTAGGTAAACTGGGTTCTGTTCTCTGGAGGAGGAAGCCAGGGATGGAACAGAGGAAGACACTCACATTAGACCATCAGGGTGGGAGCAGGAGGAACTGGAGTTTTTGTAACACTGGATTTGCTTCACGGGAATCATTCTCTTCGCAAATACGAAGCAACAGTTGGAGGACGACACATGCACTAGAAGGGAAGCACAAAAACGGTTTACATCCATTTCTCAACCTAGACTCCGTTCCTCTCTTTCAGGATGGTTTTAACAACAACAACAACAACAACAAAACCCTTCCAGGACAGGCCCCGGCTTTGGGACCGCGTCCTGAGGTCCTTGGTGCAGCGCGGTCTCATCAGTTACCTAGTTCTGTATTTAGGCCAAGAGTCAGGACACTGGGGTTCAGACCCCAGCTCCCCACAACCCAGCTGGTAGCCTTGATCAAGGTGAACCCTCACCTGGGCCCCAGATTTCCCATCTGTAAAATAAGACTTTTTAGACTGATTTCTAACGTCTCTTCCAGTTCTGACATCCCGCCACGAGTGTGTGGCTCTGCCCCAGTATTGGGTCCAAGGGCTCTGGATCCCATACCCGGGGGTGTAGTGAGTCTGGTGCATGCAAGACAGCTATGGTCCCAAAACCTGGGGCAGGATTAGAAACTGTTCAAGGAGTTCAGACTGACAAAATGATAAGAAAAGCACTTCAGGAACTAGCCAGCTCCCTGACTCGCTCTAGAATGCCCTCTTCCCCTCTCAGCTCTGTCCTGACCCCCAACCCCCAATCTGCCAGTTTGTACAGCCCCTCCCACACCCCACCCTCAAAAGATTTGCATTCTAAATCCTGGCACCTTCGTCTTGGTTTCACTGTTTACAAAGTCCCTTTCGAGTGTTTAGTATCAGGTCAGTATTCTCGCAACAGCTCCAGAAGGTAGGGATTTATCAACCCCGCCTGACTGATGGAGAAACCAGAGTTTGCAAGGTAAAGTGACTTGCCTAAGCTTAGCCAACTGTACCAGCCCTGGGCCCGTGACTTCGTACTCTACCCATTATCTGTTACTTGGTGGAGGCAAAACGCAGTCCCCTGTCTGGACCTCAGGCCTCCCAGCTTGGCCTAATAACCTCACAGCTGCCCTCCATCATTCTGCAGGGACTGGGGGAGGCAAGGCCTCCTTTTGCTGAAGCTGGCAGCTCAGTTTTCTGTGTTTGCCCAGACTCGTGGTTCTCCTACTGGTCCTCTGCCCCCATCCCATCCGCGTCCTCCATTCCTCCTCTACAGGAAGAATTCTTCCTGGAGCTGGGGAGACGGAGGCAGTGAGTTCAGGGTGAGCCCTGCCCCCTAGCCCCAGAGCACCTGACTGCATTTCTGCCCTCCCCAAAGAGGAACAAAGGGGCCCCAGCTTCACTTACTGCTCCTGCTGTCCACATCCTGCAGCCACAACCCCGCCACCAGCAGGCACACCAGGGCCACGGTGATGAGCTTCATTGTGGGTTTTCTGCCTCAGGACTCCCTGGAGTGGTCTTGATGAGTCTGGTGAAGCTAAGAGCTGTCCCTTGGCCCATCCTGCAGTGCCCAGGGCTTTTATAGGACAGTGCGTGGGATTTCCAAGGCCCTGGGGCAGAGGTGGGGAAGTCACCGGGAGAAGAGATGTTACTCACATCCAGCGACCACATAGCAAACGCCTCACCCTACCTCACCAGGTGGGGAGGGGTGTGCAGATATGTGGAAACTCCACATACCCGTCTCCCTAACCCCAAGTGCAGAAGCAGATAAGGATCTTGAAAAAAATGAGTAGGAGCTGTCCCGCTGAGTGAGAAGGGCAGAAAGGCGAGTGAGAGGAAGGGGACGATTTGTGGCTTCTCTGATTCCACATCTTTCCATCCAGGGACGCAACCACTGTCCCTGGAACATGGCGAAGCTGAAGAGCTCTGGACCAGGACTGAGACACACCTGTGTTTGAATCCCAGTTCTGCAAATTAGCAAGTTGTGTAAGCTCACCTAGGTGACATATCCGCTGCAAAATGGAAATAGTAACACGTGCCTCACAGGTGTGCAATGAGAATGAAAGAAGATCTGCTGTGTCAAGTGCCTGGCCCAGAGAGTTCCAATCTCACCTTTTTCCATTACTCAACACTTTCCAACAACTTCCTTTGCTCTAGACCCGAAGTTTGCCCCAGGGAAGAAAATGAGATGCTGTGATTGACGTCCAGCCACTGTACGATGACTCACAGATAAAAAGGTAAAAGCCATCCAGTGTAATCACAGCCGTAGACAGCCCTGTAAAAGGCACAGAGGACTGAAAGCTTCCCAAGCACATCAGAGAGGCTCCCAGGGGAATGACCTCAAGCAGAGAGCTGGATGGAAAGGGGCATGCCAACAGAGGAAGGGGCTTGTGTACAGACAGTGCGGCAGGAAAGAGCACGTTCATTCAGAGATGCCAGGTAGAGCTGGGGTGTGACTGTAAGGAGAGTGACGGAAGTGAGGGAATGACTGGAAAGAGATGTGACTGAGTGGCCAGGTCATGAAGCCATAGTGTGCGGTGCTTGCCATCAGTAGGGTATAGTAGGTGCTCAAGAAAGAGTAGCGGGGCCGAATCTGCGTATTAAAATTATGAGGCCACCGTACATTATATAATCTCAGAGGGTTGGCTAGGCGGATCTATTTTGAGTGTATGCTCTCTTGCTCACAAGCCTGCAGTGGCTTCCCATCGTCAAGTGGATGAAGCCCAAGCTGCTCACCTGGACAGTCACGGCTCGTCATGTTAGAGCTCCACAGATTCCTGCACATTTGAATACTTGCAGTTCCCTGAACATGCCACATGCTTTTCTACCTCCAGGGTTTTGCTTCTGCTGGACCCTCCTCACTGTCTCCCTCTGTGAACTTTCTGCCCATTTCCAATGCCTTTGTCTCCTTAAAGACCCTTCTGCTATTCCCAGCAGATAGGCATTCAGCCGCTTTTGAAGTCTCCCCAGTGCCTGGATCTCCTCCATGAAGGTTTTAGATGCTGCAACCCCTCCGCTCTGTGTATTTTTCAGACGAACACCTGGGCGGGAGTCCTGGTGTGTCCGAGCTGAAAGGGCTGGAACACCATCTGCACATGTGGCTCTTCAAGTTTCCTTTTGAAAAAAGGCCTCGGTCTCATTTCAGAATCAGAATCAAAACATATGTGCCTATGAGGTCTGACAATTAAGTTTGCAAACTTGTTGCAATGATATTGCTAACTTTTCTTTATATCAGAGGGATTATTCATTATGAATTTATACCAACTGAACAAAGTTAACCAGGTTTACTATTGGGTTGTCAGAAAAGTCATGACGTATTTTTTCTATGTTTTTTGTTGCAAAAATGTGTCATGGCTTTTCCGACAACCCAATATTTGGAAGTGCTGAAAAGGCTGCCTCAAAAAGTTAGATGACCTGAACTTTTTACCTACAACTCATGGCTCTTGCATCATGACAATGCACCAGCTCACACAGCACTGTCTGTGAGGGAGTTTGTAGCCAGTAAACAAATAAACTATTGGAACACCCTCCCTACTCACCTGATTTGGCCCCCAATGACTTCTTTCTTTACCTGAAAATAAAGGAAATATTGAAAGGGAGACATTTTGATGACATTCAGGACATCAAGATAATACAATGGCAGCTCTGATGGCCTTCCAGAAACACAGTTTCAAAATTGCTTTGAAGGGTGGACTAGTTGCTGGCGTTGCTGCATAGCTCCCCAAGGGGTACTTTGAAGGTGCCCATAGTGATATTCAGCAATGAGGTATGTAGCACGTTTTCTAGAATGAGTTCGTGAACTTAATTGTCAGACAGCGTATATGTGTCTGAGAAAAAAACTCCAGGTATTCAGGCCCCAAGGAGATAAGAGTCATGTATCTGGTATAGTCCCCTCAAATTACAGATGGGAAAATAGGAGTCTCAGACAGAGGAATCTGACTTCCCAAGGTCATACTGAAAATTCATTGCAGAGATGGGATTATGGACAGTCAGGTCTTCTGGCCATCTGACCTCCACATCCGTCAGTTCCCATTCATCTCACCAGCTGCTGCCTTCCACCCAAAAAGCATCTGAAGTAGTACAAATAACTAACCCACTGTTGTTGCTCTCCTAATCTCTTTGTCCTTGCCGACTGACACATTTTTATTCCTTTACTGTCATTTTAGTGGGGTTTCAGGAGAGAAAGGAGGTAAAGATATGTGGTCAATATGCTGAATGTCACCGTCGGTCTTTTTGACTCACATGGGACACGGAGAGGGAAGACATGGCCACCCAGGAAATTCTTTATACTTTCCCTCCTTTGGAGATGCAGCCCGGCCCACTCAAGAAGGGAACGGGGCTGCCCCTTCAGAAACTCACTTCCCCTCCGCCCCTCGCTGTGGTCACCATGAGCCCAGGACTGGAAAAGAGGGAATGGAAAGATTAGTCATGACTTCCCGTTCCTGGCTTCCTCGGCACCAGGAAGGAACTGACTGGAGGTTCCTATCACGCAGAAACCTAATGCTCCACGTACCTGTCTCGCCAACCCCAACCTGGCCCCTTCTTCTCTAGGCGCTGGCACAAAGGTGAGAGCCAAGTAATAACTCAATAAAACATGTGTGGACTTGAATGAGACAGGTAAGAATGGCACAGGTTGGATTGATAGGCAAGAAATGCTCTCAGCATAAACACTGAGCCAGTTATTCATATGAACAACACTTTTCTTAGAAGTTTGAAATCCAGGAAGTGCCTGTAGAAAGGTTTTCTTATTAGTCATCTTTTAAGAACTAGGTACCCACCTCTGGTCCAGACCCTGGCTGCCTCTTGCAAACACAAGTTCAGGCCCCACAGCCAGCATGCAAACACCTTGGGATTCAAAACCTTTTCTTGTGTTCTCCAGTGCCTCTTACACTCTGCCTGTGTTTCCTTGTCCCCTATTTTTTCTCTAACATTCAGCACTCTTTTTTTTTTTAAGGAGGCTTCTTTTATCTAGTTCTCAGCAACCATATAAAGGAGGCATCAAGGATCTTTCATAGCAACAGCAAACCTTAGGGTACCCAAAGAAAGTCACAGCGTGACAGTCATCAGCTTTTCAATGTGTGTCCACAGCCATTGAGCTGCTGAGCTGGCTGACAACAGCTTGGCCCACTGTGCTTGAAGGGAAGGACAAGTGTCTTGGCTCCACTTACATAGTCCTGCACCATGTGGCCAACAGAGCTCTGGCTGCACGGCACCATCACCGTTCCGCATACACACGGGGACGTGGCTGCCCCTTCTGCCTGGGATGCTCAGTCCAGCCTTATCGGGCTGTGGACGGAAAAGGGGCCACATATTAACCTGACAAGCTCAAGAGACTGAAAATAACCACATAGGATGGCATGAACATAAAAATTCCTAACTAAGGTGGGCCATGGCGGGAAGTCACATCCTTGGCCTGTAGCCTCCTTGACAAAGGTCAATCTTTACCTTAAGTGAACCTGTCTGTTGTCTTTTTGCATCTAAGATAACATACCCTTGCAATATCAGAGTAATGTCTTTTTCCAGATCCCCAGGGGGCACAACCTGCCACACCAGAGCTGGAATCTACAAAATCCCTCATTGTTATCTTGTTCACCAAATACTATCTCTATGTGCTGTAAAATGCAATTAATCATGCTGTACCCACCAATGTAAAAGAAGTGTGTGTCTCTCCATTTTACTTTTTATCCAATCCCAGAGATTTCCCTGCTTTGCTTTCTCCCACCCCCTTAATCTACAACCAATGGATTTCATGTAACCCTCCTCCTTTGATTCTAAGGTATAAAATAAGTTACAAAATACCCATTTTCTGGAGCATTTTCTCAATCCGTTGAGATTTTGCTTCCTGGCAATTGTCGTCAGTTTGGCTCAAATAAACTCTTTTAAAAGTTTTCTCTTAGGCTGGATATTTTTCGTCAACAGGGCTAACTTGCTGTATAGGCTCTCACTTGAGCTCCCAGGTGAATAGGAATTACTCCTCAAAACAAAAACTTGAGCTGTGGGGTCGGGTGTGTGGTAGGTCGTACCCCTCCCTATCTGCAGGGAGTGGCTAGAAATGAAGCCAAGGGACTGTGGGCCAGGCTTCCCAAAATCCTGTAGGTTTAGGCTTAAGAGCTTGACCCTGTTGACAGTGGAAGGCCATAAGCAATCCTTTGTTCAGGACAGGGGTGTGGCCAGATTTGTGGTTTGGACTGGGGGCTAGTGTTCCAGGCTGCAGGACAATAAATGAATGGAAGAAGGCAGTTAGATTTAGGTTTGAAAAAGTCGGGGAGAGGTGGCAGGCGAGGAGGTAGGGTTCTTTACTGGAAAAAAGACACTGAAAATCTGGATATGGGATCTCTGGGCTCTGTTGTCCATTTTTTGTGAGACCTTGGGCAGGTCACTTTTTCTCTCTGGGCCTCAATTTCTTCACCTAGAGCGTGGGAAAGTTGGCCTAAATCAGCAACTCTTTCCCTGGAAATGAGATTCATGTTAGGATCATTTGGGAAGCTTTGAGCACATGATGGGTGCTTGAGCCCCAC